CGGGCTCGGTATTTGTGGGGCTGGCGCGGGGTAGAGGGTGGGGACGGGACGGAGATGGCGGAGCTGGGTGGTGTCCGGCGGGGATGAGGGGGAAGGAGACGCTGTGAAGCGGCCGGGGCTGCGGTGATGACATTTCTTAGGACACCTTTGGATTTAATTGTGAAAAGAAAGCGTAATCTCTGAGCAGCTCCTTAAGTCAGCGATCGGCAGCAAGGCGAACCACCCAGGGTCTGCTTCTTCGGGTTAGACGTTTCATAGGAGGGTGTTTTGTGGTGTTTTTTTTTGGTTTTTTTTTAATTGTTTTTTGTTTGTTTGTTTGTTTTTTTGTCAGCTGAGCTCCAAAAATGGTGCGCTACTCCCTGGATCCGGAGAACCCCACCAAATGTGAGTCGTTTGCCGTGAACGTTCGCGTTCGCTTCACCGAAGCCATTGAGGTTTTCATTCCAAAAGTCGGTTTTATTTCTCCGCAGCGTGCAAGTCACGGGGATCCAACCTGCGGGTGCACTTCAAGGTACAGCAAAAGCGAATTCGTTTGGGTTTGGGGGTTAATTTGTTACGTCACTGTTGATTTTTTCTTGGTTTTAGGAAGCGTCTTCATTTTCTGTGTTATTACATAGTTAGAATCGTAGAATCGTTAAGGAACCAAACCAAGATGGTGCGTCCTAAAAAGCTTCCCATCCCACCTCGGTAACAAAATACCGTCGGAAGACAGTTGCAGGGAATTTCGGAGGAGAAATTGGGCTAGTGTTAGGTGAGAGATGTGTTTCATATGTCTTAATCTGCCTTTTTGGCTGGTTGGAGGGAGCATCAGGCTCGTCTGATGTGTGCTGGTCAAGGAGGACTCAAGGGGGAGGCTTGGGTTTGGCGTGAGGACAGAGGTTCCTCTGGACAGAGGTTCCTCTGGAAAAGGTTTAGGTGCGGCAGTGAACGCAGGACACGTTGGACTTAAGCACAGAACCAAAGCTGAGCAGGTGCTTTTCTGCTCGGTGTTACACAGCGCAGGCGAAAAGAGATTTCACTTATTTTTCTTTGCTCTTTTGTTGTGGTCAGGTAGGATTATAGTTCTTCTCCTTGATTTTTTTGTTTGTTTGTTTGTTTCTGAGCCTTCTCTCCCCTTTATCATCCCCTTAGAGATTTAATCACGTTTGTAGCTTGTGCAGCATGTTTCCTCATGGCTTCCTCTGAGGTGCCAATATTTGACTTTTCAGTAGGAATTTATCCTTCAGGGTCTTGGGTTTTGGTTTTTTTTTTGGATTAGTGGCCAAAGAGGAGCTATGAGAGCTATAAATACTCAAATTTAAATTTTACTGGAAAGATCTAGCTATTAAGTGGAAAAAAAAAAAAAAAAAAGAGTTGCAAATTCAGTAATGGAAGTCATACCAAGGGTTAGAAGAGTAGGTAGGAAAAAAAACCAAACCCCAAAAAATAGTGTTGCTAATTATTCTTCATTCTTTAATTTTATTTTTTTGGGTGAGTGCATTTAAACGAGTCTGTAGCAAGAAGAATAGGATCGAGGAAAGGGAGAGGAGCGCTTTTGCTGGCGTTGTAGCTTGGAGAGATGTCTTATGAGGAACTTTGCTGTGCTCTGTGTTGGTAGAACACTCGAGAGACTGCCCAGGCCATCAAGGGCATGCACATCCGCAAGGCCACCAAGTACCTGAAGGATGTCACCCTGAAGAAGCAATGCGTTCCCTTCCGCCGCTACAATGGCGGAGTCGGGAGATGCGCCCAGGTGAGGCCCGAGGTGAAGCGGTGAGAAGGACGGTTGGGTGGTGGCTGGTTGAGTTAAGATGACGTTGAGACGGCGTGGAAAATGGCCCGTGGTTTATTTTGGTACGCAGTCTTCCAAAAAGCGGATGTGACGGCAAGTTGACAGCTGTCATGGGTTGAGGCTGGGCCGGCCACTAACAAATGACAGACACTCTCTGTCAACCCCTCTCCCCCCAAAAAAGGAAAAGGAGAGAGAACAAGGGGGAGAGACTTTACGGTTTGGAAAAGAAAACTAAAACAGCTTTAATGAAACAATAACAATAAAAGAAAAAATAATGAGAAGAATAAGGAAATAATGAAATAGTGAAATGTACACAATATGTACAAATAGATACAAACCCAATACCGAACCCAACTCCTCCCACCCCGATGATGACACGTCCCCAGCACGCTGCAGGGCTGGCACTGGGGCAGTCCCAGGCTGGACTGGGCAGCAGACAGGGACGGGATGCAGGAGCTGGGCTCAGGCCCTGGATTCAGGGACGCACGGGTCGGGATGGACGACAGAAGGACAGACAGAGCCCTCCTCAGGTGTCGCCATCGAAGGAGAGAGATCGACCCTGGTGACCCCTCAGCTTTGCACTGACCGTGCCGTCCGTGGGGTGGAACACTCTGTGGGTCAGGTTTGGGTGCCCTGGCCGGCTCGGTTGGCTCCTCCCTGCAGGGGCGGCCTTTTTCGGGCTGGTGACTGTTTTCCCTCTCACACCCCAACACGGGGTACGAGACTCAGCAGTGACCTTGGTCGCTCCAAGAACCAGTCCCAGCCAGGGCCTCTCTGCATCCCGTTCCTTGGTGCTGGCTGTGACCATAACCTGATGGTCACAGTCCCTGTCTGGGAAAACGTGCTGCTGGTTCAGACAGTGCCGTTAGTTAGAGGAGACTTGACTGAAAAGTTAAAGCACTAAAACAGAATTAGTTCTGATTTAGCCCAAACCAGGACAACGGCATCTAAAGGGCCAGTTGGGTTGTAGCGGGGCAAATCGGGAACTATCTTCTTCTTCCAGGCCAAGCAGTGGGGCTGGACGCAGGGACGGTGGCCCAAAAAAAGCGCGGAGTTCTTGCTGCACATGCTGAAGAACGCGGAGAGCAACGCCGAGCTCAAGGTGGGCCACGTCGACGGTCTCGAGTGCGAAGCGTTGGTGTCGTGCGGTGTGGCTGGGCAAGGCCGGCTTTGTAGGAGGAGCCGAGTTGTGTAGAGGTGTACCGCGCATTTGGGGTTAGGCCACGTGTGTTTTTCAGCCTGAAACATGAGAGATAACTTTTACAGGTAGCTCATGGGTGTGTGGTTATCAGCTGTTCAGAGTGTGGTTTAGAGCTCGCAAAATCTAGATAAGGAAGCAAAATCTCTAGAGTCTTGGTTAATTCATACCTTTGTGAAATACTCTGCGCTTAATTTGGTAACTGATGGCAGTGATGACTTCTCTTAGGACACCTTTGGAATAACCATGAAATAATACCTCCTTTCTGAGCCATCGGCACCATTTTAAATTAGTAGAATCATTAAGGTTGGAAAAGATCTCTAAGACCAAGTCCAACCGTTGACCCAACCCCACTGTGCCCGCTAAACCACATCCCCAAGTGCCACATCTACACAGTTTGTGAACACCTCCAGGGGTGATGAGTCCATGACCTCTCTGGGCAGCCTGTTCCAGGGCTTGAACACTCTGTCAGTGAAGAAATTTTCCCTGATGTCCAACCTGAACCTCCCCTGGCACAACT